GATGACATGACATTATTAAAAAACTAGGAAAGTCAGACATTAGGTGGATTTTCAATCTAAACACCCTAAATCCCTTTGTTCTAAACATAGATTTCGAATTGTGCGATTTTCTGGAACTCCGTATAGTATATATAGTGTGCATGCAATATATTTTATCTTATACATATATATTTTTTATTATACTGCCTTTTTACATTTATATATCCCTTTCTTAATATAGTTGATCCCAAGAATATCCCTTTCTTGAGCTATATTTGTTGTGGGGTGAGGTAGGTTTATTCATATTTTATTACTAGCTAACACATTATATCGTATTTACTCGAATCGAATGCGCCATTGAATCTAAATCGCACCTCAATTTTTGAAACCTGGAAGCTGAAAAAATGTTTTTGCTGGCGAATATAATGCACATTTATACCAGTTACTACTATACAACATTGTGCTACAATGAAAATGTGTATTGCCATATACCATACTAACACTGATGGCATTTAAATTTTAGTGTTACATGATAAGTCTATTCTTTCTTAAGCTCTCTTTCAGGAACAAAATTTGTCTGTCAATTCGCCAGTTTGAGTTTGTCAGATTGAATTTGTTTCATTTTGTCTGGTTCAATTCGTTTTAATTCATCTGTTTCAATTCCTCTGTTCGAATTCACCAGTTTTCATTCACCGGAATGCAATTCACTGGAAAATTTTGAATTTTGTCCCGAATGTAATGTGCCATCGAATCTAATGCGCATTCAAATTTTGGAAGCTTTATTTTCAAAAAAGGTGCATATTAGATTCGAGTAAATACGTATAGACATATTTTCAATGGTTTGTTTCTATTTGGTTTTATGTCTTGAAGTTATATTTTGTCTTGATATAATGATTCAATGAACAGATGTCTGATATATATATATCTTTTTTCTTTCTTATATCAATGCCCATAAATGAAATACAAACTGGAACTTTAAGCCAAACAGGAAATGGCGTGTCTTGACGACATAAGACAGGGGTCCTCAAACTCCGGCCCCCAGGATGTTGCTGAACTACAACTCCCATGATTCTTTGAATTACATAGATAGCCAGAGAATCATGGGAGTTGTAGTTCAGCAACATCTGGGGGGGCCGGAGTTTGAGGACCCCTGACATAAGATATTATGGGAAAGGTAGTTGAAATAAGTACTGGAGCATAAGTGATGTAAGAGAATACACATGTCACTTCCTACTATGAACGTTCCAAAAAAGAAAGTGAAAAACTGTCTACAGCTATACCCCAATCGGCATTTAAAAATATTATAGGATCACATGAACAGAAGGCGGGATGAGCGGACATTTATAAACAGGAAACCGGATATGTACTTTTACCGATTTAAAAAAGCTCACCTATAGGCGAAATGCGCCTCGGAAACAGCAAGACAACAAGAAGATTGGATTGGATTATTCATATATATATATATATATATATATTTATTTATATTGTATATTTTTTTTACTGTTTTTTTTATTATTGGTAATGAAAGGTGTTTTTATACACTTACCTTCTAGTATCCTCAATTTCCATCTGGGTTCCAGCAAGGGAATGTGACACCCCATTATAATAGACACTAAGCTGCACAACTTGGAACCAGTTCTATAGGTTCCACACCAGGTCAGAGTTTCTATATTAGTGCACTTTATTTTCACTGATATATAAAATACTACACTAGAAGTTCTGTTTTATCTGCTTCATCTTTCCATATATATCTCATTGGGAGCTGTAGAAGAAGAAAGGTTATGCATGCCACCTGAAAGTACAAAAGTCTTTGTAAGTTTAGAGGCTATATCCAAATAAAAGGCTCTTTTTTATGTGAGTTTATTTTCACTTACCTTGTATAATACATACACTATTTGCTTACAGTAATACACTATATTTTTTTATGTTTTTTTGGTGTCTGTAACCAAGCGCTGCACTTGTACTTTGTTTTAAAGGGGATTATCACATAAACGTTAAGTACTTTTTCTTTTTATTGTCTGTTGTAAGGGGGGCTGTTTGAAGTGCTCACAAAGAGTTTTCTTAGCTGATACACAGATTTAATACCAAATATTCACAAACTAGGCACCTGTAACTATACTGTTGTGTTTTCCACATGGAATAAATTATTTACATAGAAGGGCTGGGAAGGATGAGACACATGGAGTAGCTGGGGGAAGAATGAGACACATGGGGGGTTGGGGTGGTGAATTTAACACATGGAGGAACTGTGGTGAGGATGAGACACATGGAGGAGCTGGTGAAGTGGATGAGACACATGGGGTAGATACACATGGAGGTGCTGGGGGGAAGACACATGGGGGATGAGGGTGGTGGCTGAGACACAAGGAGGGGCCTGGGGTAGAATAAGACACAAGGGGGGCGGGGGGAGAATAAGACACAAGGGGGCGGAGGATTCCAGGGCAATTTTCGTACAGGGGCCCAGTGGTTTCTAGTTATGGCTCTGGTGGTAAGGTTATACAATGTATGATCATATACTGTATCTAAATCACCATTATTTTTGCTTAAGTCAGGTGTTTAAAAAACAAACAAAAAAACATTAATTTTTTGAGCATTGAAGCTGGTGTTTAGTGAGTTAGTGCACTAGATTTTGTATATTGTAACGATATCATACCTTCCTGATGTTACAGCCTAAAAGACAACTAGTAAAAAATCCCATCTTTTATCTCCTACGGGAAAACATATCAATACATTTTTGGGAGATTTAAAAAATTTCAGATTTAGGGGATTTTCAGTGTTTAGACTTATTTTGACCATTCCAGTAAAGCAAAAACTGTTTGACAATTGCTGCATGCAGAAAGTGTTTAACTACATTCCAAACAGTCAGTTGGCCAAATGTAATTTGACACAAGTTACACATGACATTGTTGTAGAAAAGGTTAATATTTGCATAACAGATATGAACGACCCTTGGAAAAAGAAGCACGAGTTCTTGTCCATTAACAAAAATGGATATCAAAGGGGTTCTCAACTACTTTCACAAAAACACCCACAAATGCACGTTTACATATTTTGCTTGATATCAGCCCAAACCTACTATCTATGATCCAAGTCTTCTGATAGATCCTTACAGTACTTAAGATTCCCTGGTGTACATTTGATGTGAATGTGAAAGATCTGGGCACTTCAGCAGGAATTGCAGACTTTAATCAGAAGCAATATACAGAGTGATGACTTTTGACAACACAATGTGGTCATTATCAAATCTCTGATAATTATTGTGTTATCAAACATTCACCACTCTATATCTTGCTGCTGATTAAAGTCTGTAACTCTGTCTGAAGTGCCCAGCAGATCATTTACTTTTACGTTTGCATCTGCAAGGTTATACCACGGGTCCTTAGTTGCACCAGAGGGAAGTGTAGAGGCTCTGAAGTGGGAATAATGGTTTAAAGTTGATGTGATCTTATAGAGCCTTCCTTTTTGTTTTCTTGGGTCTCTAAAACTCTTAAAAAAGCATGAAGGAAACGTAATGCTACTTTTATGATAGTGGAAACTATGAATAGCCAAAATATCATTCCACGTATGTTTTCTCAGACAACTCCCATGCAGCTATTAAGAGTGTACCATATAAGGATTTTGGTGCGTGGTTAAAAAAACTGTTAAAATACAAATTGTTATAAAAATTGCAACTTATATATTAACAACTCAGAGATGGCATGTTTCCTTTAGAATCTCAATTCCGGACCAGTAAAAAAAAAAAAAGTGTTAGAAGAAACACAAAACACTTGCCTTTGTTTATTAACTGCTGTAATTTACTATATAATCTCACCTTTAACCCTTATTTTTAATTTATATGTATCCTTAGGGATTATTCTGTAGCATTTAAACGGTGGTTTTAATAAATGCCACCATTGCCCGTACACATCCTTCATGCTTCATTAAAAGGGAAACAATGCTTAAGAAAATAATAGGCTTAATTAGCAAAACATGTGTAATCTATATGCTGATATACTCGTTTGTATTGTGTGTAGTTTTAATTATCATAAGCTTATTTGCAAACTTTCAGGAACCACCATTTTCAGCGGCTTACGGCTAAATAAACCTGCTAATTTTGGTTGTGCACATTGGCCTTGATTTAATATTGTTAGATAAGCTTTGCAAATGATTTAATATTTTGGAAAAAACTTTCAAATTATTTAATATTATGAAACATTTTCATTTTGTAATATTAAAATTTTTTTATATATTGATTATATATGATTATATATTGTAATAAAGATGAGGGCACTCAATGGGTTTCCAAACCAAAATTTTTTATTAGAATGTTGCCAATATGGATCAACGTTTTGACCAAACAGGTCTTTATCAAGAAGAAGACATCTTGATAAAGACCTGTTTGGTCAAAACGTTGATCCATATTGGCAACATTCTAATACATTTTTTTGTTTGGAAATGCATTGAGTGCCCTCATCTTTATTACAATTTACATACTTAGTGCAGAGCAGCACCTTGGTGTAAGTGGTTTTGTTTATTTTTGAGGATTGAGTGCCAGACTTACTGTTGTTTCCATATATATATATAAATATATATATATTTTTTTCTTCATATTTTATTATTTTGAAAAATTATTTTAACCCCTTAACACTGTTAGGGTGTACTATGGCGCCCCGCATGTAGTAAGCCTAAATGCCGTTAGGGCGGCATAGCATGCCCTAACGATTTTGCGTTTCCCCCGGCTGCAATTTACTTACCTGGACCGGTGATCCGCTGCGATCCGGTCCAGGGGGACTGCCTCAGGAGACAGGTAGTCCCCCTGCTTCCTTCTTGGCCCTCCAGGGCCTTGTGATTGTGACAGACGTCGAAAATTACATGGCCGCAAAGGAGTCTATGATAGTTCATAGTTTATTGAGATTTTCAACCATGTCGGCCGCCTCTGAATATGAACCCGACCAGATGATAAGCAAATCATCAATATAGCGGAAATATTGCACTTTATGTTGTCCATATTGTGACAGTATGTGCTTTTCCTCATAACAAAGCTTCCCTAGACCTTATGTTAATCATCATACAAGATGTAAAGACAGATATGCTTGAAGTTAACCAAAAGATCTTGAGTTTGGAATCAGAGCATGCAGTACTCCTAACACCACCAGAGGGAGAACAACTTAAACAGAAGTTAAAAGAAGAACTTTTAAATTACAAGAACGAATTGGTCAGGTTTAAGCAACAAAAATTTGAAAGCGTTTATCTAGATTATCAAGAACACAGAGTGTACAAATGGCTGACTGGAGATAACCAGCGTAAACCCCGGAGACAAGGCAAATGAATACAATGCCCTAAGGTCAGGGACGTATTAGCCGCGAGGCAAACAAGGCATTTGCCTTGGGCGGCATTTTTCAGGGGGCGGCAAAAAACGCCGCCCCCCAAATGTCCAGGGCAAATGCCTAGTTAGCCTTGCGGCTAACTGACATCCCGGGCGGGCGGCTGGCGAGGGAGCACTTCCTATGAGCTGTCTGCTCAGCTCCCTCGCGCGCCGCACAGTGAGGCTGGGAGCTGGAAGATGACGTCATCTTTCGGCTCCCAGTCTCACTCTGCAGCCGGCGCGCGAGGGAGCTGAGCAGTCAGCTCATAGGAAGTGCTCCCTCGCCAGCCGCCCGCCCGACCGGCAGCCACTGGACCACCAGGGAGAGAGAGACCTCCCCCCCCCAGCACTCACAAAGGTAAGGAGGTTGGGGGGGGGATTTAAATTAAAAAAAAAAAAGTTAATCTGTGTGTGTGTCTGACTGTGTTTGTGTGTGTGTGTGTGTGTTTGTGTCTGACTGTGTCTGTGTATGTGTCTGACTGTGTGTGTGTGTGTGTGTTTGTGTCTGACTGTGTGTGTGTGTGTGTGTCTGTGTGTGTGTGTGTGTGTCTGACTGTGTGTGTGTGTGTGTGTGACTGTGTGTGTGTGTGTATGTGTCTGACTGTGTGTGTGTGTGTGTGTGTTTGTGCCTGACTGTGTGTGTGTGTGTGTGTTTGTGCCTGACTGTGTATGTGTGTGTGTATGATGACTGTGTGTGTGTGTTTGTGTCTGACTGTGTGTGTGTATGACTGTGTCTGTGTGTGTGTTTGTGTCTGTGTGTGTGTGAGTGTGTGTGTCTGACTGTGTGTGTGTGTGTATGTGTCTGACTGTGTGTGTGTGTATTTAAAAGGTGGGGCGGGGGGAAGGGTTGGGTGGGGGTGGCGCGGGGGGATGGGGGTGCCTGAGTTTTGTCCTGCCTAGGGCAGCACAAAACCAGGATACACCACTGCCTAAGGTAACAACTATAGATATCACTTCAGGCGAATCTGCCTCTGAGAACGACACACCAAGATACCCCAATTTTTTTAGAGAATACGGGTACCATCACCCGAAGCCGAACAGTAGGTCAAGAAGGAGTAGAACAAGACGAGGGCACAAGGGCAAGAACTAGTCAACGGGGCAAACCACCCCACAGGAAGTAGTCCCTATTTTCATTCTCTCACACTGAAAATTGGAGCAACATGAAATGGAAATTTTGAGTCGTGTTCTGTCATTTGTCCCAACGTCATATCCTAATCATTTTTTGTTGAATGTGGAACTATTTAAGTTCGGCGGAACTATGCGTTTAAAAGAGTATTTTAATCGCTCAGGAAAAAATAAAACACAATCAGCTATACAAGTAGCAAATCAGTTCAAGTGTAAATCTACGTTTGATCCCTAGTCGAATAATGCTTCAATTAAGTCATACCTAGCAACTACAAATAAAGTTACTAAAAATATTCTTTCACAACAATGTAGCAAACTGCAGAATATCACTAAGTATCTAAGAAAGCTTATCCAGCAGCTGACGGATGTCATTAGGTCAGCGGACAAAGGTGGGGGTATAGTGATTATGGTTTATCAGTACTACGCAGAGGAACTACAGACACAACTCTCAGATCAAAATAACATACAAATTGTTATCAAGTGATCCTACAAAAGAGATCCAGTCTAAAATAGAAGACATTCTTGCTATGGCTCTCATGGCAGGTTATATTGACATTCAACTGTATCAATTTTTGCACAAACTCCATCCATGCACGCCAATTATTTACAGAATCCCTAAGATACACAAACATGCCGAGAAACCACCAGGGCGTCCTATAGTATCTGCTGTGGATGGCATCCTCGAACCAATTTTGAAATGGTTGTACTCTATTTTTATAGGGCCAGTAGAAGAACTCCACACCTGTGTTTAAGATACACAGACATTACTTACTAAATTGTCAGCAATACAAGTCAATAGACATAAGTTTATTTTAATAACTATGGACGTGGCGAGTCTATATACTATCATCCCCCACAAAGAGGGTGTGGAAGCCATGAGAACTGTACTTACACAGGCAAAACATCATTAAGGTCCACCCATAGAATTTGTTCTCGAGCTACTCATGTTGACGCTTCAAAACAATTACTTTCGGTTCGAAGATAAATGGTATCTGCAAGTGGCTGGAACCTCCATGGGGGCGGCAATGGCCTCCATGTACGCAGATTCATACATGTATGTTTACGAGGAAAAGCACATACTGTCACAATATCGACAACACATAGTGCAATATTTCCGCTATATTGATGAATTGCTTATCATCAAGGTCGGGTTCATATTCAGAGGCGGCCGACATGGTTGAAAATCTCAATAAACTATCTGTGCCAGTTAGACTAACGGCAAATATTAGCCATGAGAATGTCCATTATTTGGATTTGGAATTGAAAGTGGGAGAACACCAAATTGAATACTCCTTATAATCATAACCAACAGAACGCAATATGCTTCTCCATGCTCAAAGTGCACATCCCTGTGCACTTAAAAACTCTTTACCTAAGGCACAATTTCTATGCGTCATTAGGAATAACTCCAATACGGACATGATGGAAAGACAACTAAAGGAAATGTACCAAAAACTTCTCAATCGTGGTTACAAAAGCAATATCCTTGAGTGAGCATTAAGTGAAGCCAAAATGGCAAATGCACCTCGCAAAGTAGAGGCTCCACTGAAAATGGTATTTCCTATGACTTTTCATAAGCACTCACCATTGGTAGCTAGAACTATTAGGATGACACACTCCCTAAGGTTTTTAAAGAAGCTCCACTCATCTGTTTTAAAAGGAAGAAGAACCTAAAAGACATGCTAGTACAGACAGACCCAGTTAGGAGCTACACTAAAGCATCCAAGACAGTAAATCAGGGATGTGTTCGATGTCTCGGTTGTGTCACTTGTGGACATATGCTACAAGTGAAATTTTTCAATCACCCACATACCAACAAAAAGTACGAACACACAACAAACATGTAAAATACCATTTGTTGTGTACAAATTGACATGCCCATGTGGTCTCAACTATGTGGACAAAACAGAGACTCCTTTATGCAAAAGAATACAAAGACATTGTTCGAGTATCCGACTGGCTTATAGAGATGGTGCTTCGGATAAGCCAGTAGCCACGCATTTTTTGGATGCACAACATCCTTTGTCCTCTTAAGTTTATAGCAATTGATTACATACCACAACCCAGAAGAGGGGGCGACAGAGGCCGCATTTTACTTAATAGAGAAGCATACTGAATCCATGAACTGTGTACAGTGTCCCCTAGAGGACTTAACGAAAATTAGCTATTTCACTCATTCCTCTAGGTTACATCTAATGCATTTCTAGCTTGTGTAGTATTGTACTGTTATACATAGTGTTTAGATTAATTATTGCAATCTGTATATTTTTAGATGGTGTATTTTCTGATTTTATGAATTTTAATTATGGATCTTTTATTAAGCACTTTATTATATTACTAGCACTTTTATATACTATAGGCACTTTACTATATTACATAGAAGCACTTTTCAATTTACACTGTATATGCTCATTTAAGACATATCTAGCCATTCTAATAAAGGACTAGAAAGAGGTCACAGTTAGTGGAGTTTTTGTTCACATTCATATAAGTATATATCACTTTAAATAGCTTTTTCAAAGGTATAGAATATATAGTGTAATATATCTTGTTTGCACAAGGCACTGTATTCTACAATTGGGTATAAATAGTTATATATAGATCTTCTATTTATAGTGGGTACAGTGCTTGATATTAATTTTTCCCACATACAGACTCTAGCCAGGCACTCTCTTTTTTTCTCACATATTTGCACATATTAATTTGGCACTTTATAGGATTTATTGCACTTTTTCACTTTATTGGTACAAAAGTAATTGGAGCACAGTAGACCTCTTTAAATAATGGAGTATATTCAGTCCGTTTATAATAAGCGTGCATATACACCACATATGGTCTTATACTTAAAGTAGTGCTTTTTCATTAATGTATAAGCTAGTATTATCAACTCACTATGTATATATTGGTATATTATGTATTAATTAATTATTGATATTGGCATTAGCTAGTTGTCATTTTATTCATTATTATCATTTTTACTTTTAACAGCCTCACGACTCTGATCAAGTAGTCCGATCAGTGTTTTGATGTGCTGCCCACACGACGTCCACTGGTTGCTATAGTTTCGCGGCATAGTAGCTGGGTTGTCATAGAAACACGTTCAGCGTCATGCCGCTCTTAGATATTCATTGGCTACCAGTGCACATGCGCACAGCGATCAGCAGGATGCCGAACGAGTAGATACACCAGCTGGGGTAAGTTAATTCATTTTTTCACTTTCCCTTATGGTATATAAGTTGATTTATTATTTGTATTTCACACGTTTGTATTTCCTGATCCTGAAGAAAGCCCAGAGTGGGGCTGAAACATTGATCGTTATTTTAATGCATATCTAATAAAGCAATTTCGATTTTAAAAGAAGACCGTGGAGTGCAGCCATGAGCCTTTTTTTTTTTTTTTAAATTAATGCTTAAATAGAGACTATTATACATTTTGTTCTATGTTATCTGTGACATTTAGGTATTTCATTTAGTCATTTTTTTCAATTTGTTCATAGCTATATTAGCCAACATGATGCATGTTTACTCAGAGTGGCTCCATAGAACTCTTTAAAGGGACACTATAGGCACCCAGACCACTTCATCTTATTGTAGGGATTGATATACTAACCTATATATGTGTGTGTGTGTGTGTGTGTATATATATATATATATATATATATATATATATATATATATGTGTATGTGTATATATATATATATATATATATATATTCAACGTGTATATTGTATATGTATCTACTATATTTACATAATTAATACATTTTATTAATTATAAATCAAGAGACCTGCCTGACAACCCAGGTAGAAAGGCCATTGAATTTAATTTACAAGCCCTAT